GGCCAAAGAGCTGCATGTGGCTCTTGAGCCACAGTTTGCCAACCGCGGCCTTAGCCTAACGGCCTACCCTGCAAATGTTGGATTTGCCAAGCCTCCACAATTGCATTATCCGGTTCTGTATAATAAATACCTATCCATCCAGCCACCCAGCCACCCACACATCCTGTGAGTTCTGTTTCTCTGGAGAACCCTGACTATTACAAGGTGTCTCAGAGGAGTGGGCATGGTATGGTTCTGAAGTTGAACCAAGAAGAAACCTGTAGATCGTCCCGTCCAGTGGTTTTCAAACCTTTATGTTTGCAGCCTACCTCTCTTTCAGATGAACTCAATGAGGAATCTCAATGATAGTCATTCCTATTTACTTAATACGTGTTATATACCAGGCCCTGTTCCGAGCACTTTGTCTGTTAGCTCACCTAATCCCTGCAGTTACGGAGGAAGGAGTTGTGCTGTGTGTCCCATGTTAAAGGTGAGGGAACCGGGGCTCAGAGAGGCGAAGCAATCTGCCCAGGTTCTTACAGGGAAGGGGCAAAGCTGGGATTTACATCCAGGACATCTGAGCCAAGTGCAAGACCACCACGCCATCCCTCCTACCTGTGAGTATATTTCACTCCTAAAACCAGAGCCGCTTTGGCTGAAGTGTGCAGGTGTTTCAAGGCCTCAGCCCCGTTGCTTTTCCTTGGATTTCCCCTTATCCTTTCCCCTCAGCCTCTAAAGTAGCTCCAAGAACACAACTCCTTTCTAACCCATCTGGAACCTCTGATCTAGCCCAGCCCCTCTTCCAGAGAGAGGGGAAAGCCAGTCCCAGAGAGGCTGTGTCTCACCACGGCCACACAGCAAGGCTGCCTCTGAGGAGGTCCTCAGACACAGGGGAGGATCTGGAACCACCAGTGAAGTAACACAGGAGAAAGAGCTCCTGAACCAAGGTTTCTCCAAATCTAGCCCGTGAGGGCTTCTGGGTAGACTTGACCCATTAAGGGCTGGATTGTCCTCCCCAGATACACCCCACTCTGAGGAAGCTGCCCCCGCCTCCCAGGCTGACCAGAGGACTGAGAAAGGAAGTAGTCTACGTCTGGGCCTCCGTCTAGGTTCAGATGGCAGCCCCCGGCCCGTGAGCTGGTATTCTGGCCTCTTCTGTTGCGTTTCAGCCTAGTGGGAGACTAGGGCCCTTGAGCAAGGCCCTAGACCCCCTAATGCACTGTCCCCAGGACCTGTGGGAAACCCACAGTTTGAAGTAAGGAACTCCTACACATCCCTCAAGACCCAGCCTACATATGCCCTCCCTGCTAAAGCCTGGCAGGAAAATCTCTGCTAAGTCAAGAGACAGCCTCTCTTGCACACACAAGTGTCAGCTTTGCCACCATGTTCTGAGATCGTCTGGTGGCATGTCTGTCTTCGCAGGTCAGGGGCTGGGTCTTGGCACCAGTGCCTGACACAGCATCCAGCCTAGAGGGCAGGCACTCGGTTCATCACTGTGCCTGCCAGCGAATCAGCGCCTGCACAGGGAGACTTACCCAGCCTATGCAGATGCCAGCAGGGAGTTTTGTTTGTTTGTTTGTTTGTTTTGTTTTTAATATATTTTATTGATTTTTTGCAGAGAGGAAGAGAGAGGGATAGAGTTTTAGACACATCGATGAGAGAGAATCATTGATCAGCTGCCTCTTGCATACTCCCCACTGGGGATGTGCCCTTGACTGGAATCAAACCCAGGACCCTTCAGTCCTTAGGCTGACACTCTATCCACTGAGCCAAACCAGTTTCGGCCAGCAGGCAGCTTTGCAGGCCCTCCCACTGTCTGGCCCAGCCCCTTGTCTGTAGATGAGAAAACGGAGGCCTGAGCAGGGACGTGACTTCTGAAGTCACCACAGCTGTGTGAGTGGCAAGGCCAGAAATGGAGCCTGGGCACTGACAAAGGCCCTGGGCCATTGTCTCGTCCACCTCTGCCGCACTCACACCAGTACTCATTTACAGCCACACACAGAGCCGCCGTGCTCCCCACCACAACCCCCCGCAGGGCAAGGACAGGGTTTATCATTAACCCCGTGGTACAGGGGAGGACACGGGCTCAGTGAGGGAGAAGGCCGGCCGAGGTCTCACGGTGACCTCATCGCCTATATATCTGTCACACGTACGCCCACACGTCTCGCCGCCTTAGTCCTTCCTCTGCCTGGTTGGCCCTTGAGTCCCCAGAGCCAGGATGAGACTCCAGGTTCCCTGACTCTGTTCCCTGCCTGGTCTCGCACCTCACCCCCTCCGCCATGTTGCATTAAACAGGGAAGTGCGGGAGGGTGAGAAGTGGAAGAACCATGGAGGAGACAGAGCAGGGTGGCCAGAGGGGACAGGATGAATGCCCCAGCCTCTCACGTTCTAGCAAAGTGTTCTCACTGCCCCTAGCCTGCAGCCACATGCCCCTCAGAGGAACAAGCTTTGGGGAGACTATAAATCCAGAGGTTTGGGGTTCTACACATCCCACTCACCTATCGCCCCGGCTGCTAACCCAGAGGGCTACCACGTTACAGTCCAAGACATGAAATGAAGGCTGGAGGGGGAACCAACAAACGCTCTGAGTTGGGCTTGTTCATAAAATGTGGCTTGGATTTTAGTCCACGATTGCCCCCTCAACCAGGAAACTACCGGTACTTGGTAGCCTTGGGTGAATGGACGGACAGAGGGAGGGAGGGAAGGAGAAAGAGGCGGGTGGATTAGGGGTCTATCCATCTCATGCCACCACAACCTCACGGTTCCAAAGCACAGAGTCGGGCCTACTCGTTCAGCTCCTACCAATAAGCCCAAGTGGCCTCAACCCTTCCTGCCCCAGCCCGCTGACCATAGCCCTCATTCTGACGACCCTCCCTTGCCAGGCTCATGCTGGCCCTCTCATGGCCCAGGCCTGACACCTGGTGATGCCCCTGGAGGGTGGCCCTGGCTTCCTTCCCACTTCTCACTAACTGGCCCAGAGCTGCCAAACCAGCCTGGCAGCTCACTGGCCACCTGACCTCCACTCCAGGGTCACACCTGGCAGAACCTGGCGAAACTGGGGGCATCCCTGCTCACCTGGGGAGCCTTCCATTCACATGGGGCCAAACTCCCTCCTCAACCTGGACCCTCAAGCCAGGTCCAGAGGGAAGCCTAGGACTACAGACCATCACAGAACACAAGGCCAGGAACGTGCCGAGGTCTCACAGTGAGTGTGCTGGGACTTCCTTCTACCCCACCCCTTGCTGCCTTCCAGCACAGCTGTGGGCGTTGGGGTGAAGGGAAGGCACGCTGGGGAAGGAAGGAAGGAAGGAAGGAAGGAAGGAAGGAAGGAAGGAAGGAAGGAAGGAAGGAAGGAAGGAAGGAAGGAAGGAAGGAAGGAACTGAAGGGAGGGTCAGGGCTAACTTAAGCAGGTTCTCGGGTGGGGTGGTGATACAAGAAAAAAAACCAAAACCTACCCTCAGCAATTCCTTCCAACCTCACCCAACTCCCACCCAAAATCACCGCCTGACCAGCCCAAACACTTAGAGGGAGGGTGACACCATGTGGCTGATTTTGGTATTGCAAAAGTTCCCATTGGCCCCTAACCGCAACCCTTCTTCCATTGAAAGCTATGGCCCTTTGCCTAAGGAAAGCCCTCCACATGCACAATCACACACACTCCCTCACCCACTCCAACCTCCGACATCGGCTGAAACTCCTGGTCAGAGCCCTTCCCTCCTCCACAGAGCACACACCCTGAAAACCCCGCTCTGGCCCAGCAGCTGTGCGCCTTGCCCAGAGATTTACTTACTCTGAGCCTTGGTTTCATCTGTAAACCAGATGCCATGAGCAATATGTGGAAGCATGCGAGCAAGCTATCTAAATTTAAGCGCTTCAACAATTGTTCCCTAGCCTCCAGCTGCCGCCCGGCCTCCCGCTCCACTAGGACGCTGATAAGAAGGGAAGGAAGGAGAGAGTCCAGGTGGGGGAAAGGTGCCAGGGCAGGCAGGAACCCAGCCCCTTTGGCATACCTGGCATACTTGGCGTTTCAGGAACTCTGCAAGGGGCAGCTGGTGTGAGTATGGATTGGGGGGGTGAGGAGAGACGGGTCTGAGAGCTGGCCAGGGGTGGGTCCTGCCAGGCCTCACAGCCATGGGAAGGGGCCTGTCCTTTGTCTGGAGGGTAGTGGGGGCCCGAGGCTTTACCAGGGAACTGACATAACTGAGTTTGTATTGAGTCCCGCTGCGAGCTGTCAGGGAGGGTGGATTAGAGAGGGTGGGCCAGGAAATGGGAGGCAAAGGGGCCACAGACAGTGGTCCGGGTGAGAAATGCCGGCAGCCTAAAGGGCTGCAGAGAAGCTCAGGGACTCAGTGGGCTGATGGGAGATGGGGGTGAAGGAGAAGGAGACATGGCAGGGGGGCAGCTGGGTGGGTGATGGTGTCAGTCACGGAGATGGGGTGCAGGGGCCTCCTGCTGATCTCACTGTGCGATGTGGGACAGACACTGACGTCTGGCATCAGTGACAGCCAAACACCAGGCTGTTCCAGGAAACAGTGAGAACAACGATTGAAAAGCCTGTCCACCAGCAGCCACCCTCCCCCCCCCCCCCCGGGCCCCCATCTGACTAGGGGCCTCTCAAACTCACCCCTGAGTTGCCACAAGGGAAGGACTGTGGCCTGGTGTCTCTGTAGGACTCCTGGTGCCAGACACACAACACTCACACACCTTCCGCACACCATCCACATGCCAACTCCATGTGCCACCCACAACATACCTTCCACATGCCATTCGCTCATGTTGCACCAGTCATCCATGCACAGGCTACATGCCATTTCCATGCCATCCTCACCTGCCATGTACCAGCCACACACATCCACATGCTTGCCATCCGGTGTGCTCTGCATCACCCCCCCCCCCAAAGGAGAACCAGGCACCAGGTGGGGACCCCAAGGAAATCCGCAAAGCCGAGTCCCAGCCTGACCGGCCCAGGCCGTCTCCTTCCCGGGAAGACTGCTCCCCCTCCTGCCCACCCGCTGCTCACCTTTGCAGGCGCAGCCTTCCCGGGTGATGACCTGCCGGCAGATGCCACAGGGCTTCACCTTCTTGAAGGTCTTCACCTTGAAGTGGTGGCTCTTGGGGGCCTCCAGGTCCTCTGGCTGCGGGAGGAAGGCACAGTGGTCAGGCCTGGTGGGAGGATAGGTTCCCAGGAGAGGAGCTGAGGGGCCTGGGAAGACGTAGGCACGGACGAGGGAAAGGGAGAGGCAAGAGCCCTCTCAGGTGGCATAGGCCTGAGCCTGTTTCCGGGAGGAGGTGCCAGGGGAAGAGAAAGCTGGGGTGGGACCCAGACTCCCAGGGGAGGTCAGCACACTGAGGCCTAGATGACAACGGCAGCCCCCAGCTGCTGGGGACCACAGACCCCTCCGTGGTTTCTTAATCACTTTTTAAATTTTACTTTATTAACAAAGTACACTCATTTAAACGCATTGCTCGATACCAATTTTACACGGCATGCCCAGGGACCACACCCCAGAAGGCTCCCTCGTGGCCGTCCCATTCGCTGTCCCCCAGGTAAAGGTGACTGTGACCTCTGTCACCAAAGGTTCATTCCGACAGATCCTTAAACTTCACGTGAAGGGAATTATACAGCATGCACTTGTGCCTGGCTTCTCCCGCTCAGTCCTACTCTGTGAGACTCACCCGGGCGGCTGCTTACACGGAGCCGCAGCTCCTCCTCCTCATTACTGTGTAGTGCTCCACTGACGAGAGCTCCTTCCTCTGTCCATCTGCTGCTGTTAGTGCCTAACTTATACCCAGTGCACAGAATGCTGTGCCCCTCAGTTCTCTCTCACCCTCACTACCATCCCCTGCCCCAACATAGAAGTCTTCTTCCATGTTTATGTTTATTTTCTATTCTTTATATTAGGAAGATCTCAATATGTTAAATATTCTATCTATTTTTTTTAAATATATTTTATTGATTTTTTTTTGCAGAGAGGAAGAGAGAGGGATAGAGAGTTAGAAACATCGACGAGAGAGAATCATCAATCAGCTGCCTCTTGCACACCCCCTACTGGGGATGTGCCCGCAACCACGGTACATGCCCTTGACTGGAATGGAACCTGGGACGTTTAAGTCTGCACGTCGAAGCTCTATCCACTGAGCCAACCCAGTTTTGGCTAAATATTCTATTTAAAGCGGCACCACCACACACATGATATGAGAGGCAGACTAGCAGTCCAAGCCTTCTCTCTATCTGACCTACCGTGAGCTCCTGGACCAGTCAGTCACCCTCCCACATAAGCCACGGGCATCACAAGGTGGGGCACTACACCTCTCGAGCTCCGACAGTCTGTCTTTTGTAACACCTATGGGCACACGCCCTGGAGCGAGCCCTGCACCCACACTGCGAGAACCACCCTCCTCGGGCCTGAGGTGCCCCATTCAGAGGGCTCCCCAGAGAAGTCACCCCAGCCTGCAGGCCCCATTCCTCTCCGAGGCCCTCACTGTGGTGTCCAAGCTGGTCCATTCCCCCTCCAGCAGCAGGGCGTGGGAACATGGACACGGACAGCTCCCTCCTTCCCTCTCCCAGGCACAGAGCTTCTACACCATCCGCACACATGGACACACACAGAGACACATGGACACACACACACAGAGACACATGGACACACAGAGACGCGGTCACAGACCCTGCAGCTCCAGGGAGGGGGTTCTGCTCTTCCAAATCCCCTCTCGCACCCTGCCCCAGGCCTCCCAGCTCCAGGACGGGGCTGAGGGACAACTTGTGCAGAGCAGGAACGGTGACAGTCTCACACACCCAGCATGTCCAGGACTCCGATCGGAAGACACTGTAGTGGTGAGTCCTGGGGAAAAGAGACTGAGCCATGAGAGACACAGAGAAAAACAGACAAAATGAGAGAGAGAGACAGTAAGCTGGAGTAACAAAGATAGAGAGACTGTGGAGAAGAGAGAGAGAGGGAGAGGGAGAGAAGAGGGGGTGTGTGTGAGAGAGAGAGAACAAAGACAGAGACAGACAGAGAAAAGACAGAGAAAAGCCACAGGCCACAGGGAGTCAGACAGAGATGGGGAAGAGACCAAGATAAAGGCAGAGACAAAGAGAAGGACCAACGAGCCCACACAGAGAACGTGGTAGATTAGATAGAAACGCACAGAGGCTGAAAGGGAACCGGAGAATCAAAGGGGGGCGGACAGACAAAAGGACACAGGAGCCAGCTGGAAGGGGCCCCCGAAGACTAAATGGGGGAAGATCTGAGCACCCAAATACATCGTGACGGGAATGGCTTAGAGGAACCCATTCTGACCTGTGAAATAACTGGATGAATGGGAAGATGAGGAACAGAGCGTTTGTAAGACTCAGAGCGCCTCCCCACATCATACTTGTAAATTACCGGGGGGGGGGGGGGGTAACTTTTCCCGGCGGACTCCACTTTAACCAAGTGATCAAAGGTAACGGCTCCCGGGGTGTGTGTCGCCGGGGGACACAGAGAGGGAGCGCCGCTTCTGCCACATTCCTGCCAGAGAGACACAAGCCACGCTCATCAGGAGGGAACACCAGCCCGGCCCAAAATGAGGGACAGTCTGCCAGCCCTCAGCTTGGACTGCTCCAAAGTGACAGACAAGGGCGTGAACGTGGAGGGAAGACGGGTGGGTTTCCAGACTGAAGCAGACTGAAGAGGTGCGACAGCCAAACACAATGGCTGGCTCCGAACTGGATTCCTTCCACGCCAGAAACGACATCATTGGCCAGCTTATCGGAGGGTGAGGTGGAAGTCACAGGTCCAAGTCAGTTTCCTGACGTTGGTGGCTGCGTTGGGTTAGGCAGGGAAAGTCCTTGTAGGAAAATCAGGAAAGCATCGTGTCAGCAACTTACTCTCAAGTAGCTCAAGGAAAAGGAAGGTCACCCGGCCACCTGCCAGGTGGTTCTGGAATGTCATTCTGTGTCCCCAGAAGTTGTGGGTTTGATCCCCGGTGGAGGAACCAATCAATGTTTCTTCTCTATCTATCTATCTATCTATCTCGCTCTAGCTCTTGTTCTTGCTCTCTCTTCCTCTCTCTAAGCATGTTCCCAGGTGAGGATTAAAAAAAATAAAAATAAACATATCTTCAGATGAGAATTTTTTTCAAGGGTCTTTGTATTGCATTTGCAACTTTTCTGAAGTTTGACATTGTCTCAAAATTTAAAGAGACAGGCAGAGGGAGGGAGACGGGAGGGAGCAGAGGCGAAGTCCAGGAAGAGGCTGGGAGGAGATAGGCATGGTGCCAGGAGCCCAGCAGTGTCCTCTGGTGGCTGGGCCCAGCAGCAAGACCTGTTTCTGGGATTCCAGAGAGCTAGCTGGGTTTTAAGAGCGGAGCTTCTAGCTTCCTCTGGGGTGGGTGAGGGTGGGAGCAGAGCACTGCCCAGCACTGGCCTCACTCAGTGTCCCCATGCCACCGGGAGGGACAGGAAGTCCCTGCACTCTGAGTTCTGGCCAGCCCGTTTTCCCATCTCCGCTCCCACCTGGCAGCCTCCGGGCAATCTCTGTGGCAGACATTCCAGGGAGGGGGCCCAGCCCAAAGTCAACTGCAGCAGCCAGGCCTGGGGTGAGAGGAGGGGCAGGGAGGGACTTGGGGTGCCATTGAAGGCCTGTGTGGGGAGGCAGGCAGGAAGCTTTACCGGCCAATCAGCTCAGCTCTACTCTGGCACCTCCAAGCCCGCCTGTCCCACCCCACTAAGTCAGGTAGAACTCCCTGTTCCCAGCTTCCACGCCACTCTTCTCTGCCTACACCCCAAATCCAGCCCTTCCCCCGAAGGCCTCCTTCCCACAGCCTCGCTGGGCCGTGGAATCTCGTGAAAGAGCGTCCTGGCTGCCCAGTGAGCAGATGGGGAGCAGACGGAGCCTTCCACGCTGACAAGCAAACTCCGTCTTCTCTCCTGGGCCCTGGGTTTGCCTGCCCAACCACATAAAATCTGAGTTTACAACATCTCTCCCCGCATATGCTCAGAGAGCAGAAGCAGGCTTGCAGATACATCCCCCCTCCCTCACACCACTCCCAGCAGCCCCCTCTCCCCCCGACAATGGCCCAACGCCCTGCTACGCCAGCCCCACCCCGCCCTGTTCCCCGGCTGAGGGGACACTAGGACTGGAGTCTGGAGACTGTGCTCTAGGCCAGCAGCCTTGAGAACACCCGTGGCCTTCTCTGGGCCTCGTGGTCCCCAAATGAAAACAAAGGGTGGGCAAAGTGGGGGAGACAGCGGGCCAGTTTGAGATGGAGGGGTGGGGAGCTGGGGGCAGGGCACGCACGCTGACATGTGCAGAGAGTGAGATGTCTGATGAAATGCCCCTTCCATGAGGGGCTGGAGGACCCCGGGGGCAGAACGGAGGCAAGCAGGGCCACCCCCGGGCTGTAAGGACTCCGCCAGCTCGGCTTCCCTGGGCACAGAAGGGGGGCCTGGTGAGCTCGGTGAACGTCACCCACACCGGTCTGAAGGGTTCCGGGACGATGGAGGAAGATGTCCAGGCTGGCTAAGCCTCTGATCCGCAAATAGCTGAGGGGCCGTCTTTGAAAGGAGGCGCCTAAGTGACCTGTGGAGTAACTGAGGGCGAAACACAGCCCGGCGGCAGCAGCCAGAGGGAGGCATGGTTGGAGGCAGGGCTGGGGGGACGTCCCAACCATCACATGGTGACATCCTGGCAAAGAGGAAAACAGGGTCCTGGTGCCTCTCTGCCCTGCCCAGGGCTGCTCTGCAGGTACGGGCAGCGGGTGTGAGGAGCCAGAAAGGGCAGAGCGCCATGGCTTGTCATGACAACGACCCCCGTTTTCCTGACACGTGGCAGGCAGGCAGCCTCACAAAGCCCTCCCAGCACCGCCCCCCGTCTTGCTGGATTAACCCCTGAGGGACCTGAGGGAATGCAGGGGCAGAGGAGGCACTGCCACCCCTCCCTCCAGAGGCAGGGCCCGGATGAGGAAGGTGGTCCCAGCTTGGAAGGCATTTCAATCCATCCCTGGCCCCGGGACAAGCCCACTCAGCACCAGAGGGCTTTCCTGGCCCCCAGGGGGTCCTCCCCCTCCCCGCCTCCACGCCGCCGAGTGGGCCTGCCAGAGGCAGGTCCCGCCAGCGGGTGTGGCACATCTGGCTCGGACAGCCTTGGCAAGA